CAGCGCCTCCCCGCCCCCCCCGCCGTTCTCGGCGGGTTTGGGTGGATTTACGTTTAAATTTTATGCAGCTGGTTGCTTTCCTGCCACCGCGCTCCCATTTCAAAGGCGCTCGGGAACCCCCATCGCGATGGCTTTTAGCCCCGAGCTGGGCCCGGGAAGGCTCGCCGCAGAACTCGAATGCTAACTGGGAGTCGACTTCGCTGCAAGCAAACACCTCCGCTTACTGAGCTGCCAGATAGATATCGAGTGCAACGGGCTCAAGATCAATATTTACCACAAGAAGCAATAAATCCTTCTGCCTGATGAAACAGGCGGTGTGCGTCGGGAACCCACTTCGGGAAATGCTCAAAGAGAAATGCTTGGAAATCTGTTTTTCTCCTTGTAATTCGTTTGCAACTCTAATCGCTCGTGCTGCGAGCCCAGGAGCTCCTTAATAGCTGTCTCCCATTTGCTGCTCACGCGGGCTCCATCTCGCAGCAATCCGTGGCCACCCCGTACGTCTGCAACAAGCCGAATTTCCCTTCCCTTATATACAGACCAGGTAGCACAGGCGAGTTAGATAACCACTGCTGGTAAAGAAAATTGCTTAAAATAAGCTTTCCCTGTTATTTTAAGTGAAGTCAGCTATGAATACGAAGCAAAGTGTTTATGTGTGTAGTGGTGGTGGGGGGGCTTTTTCTGTTGTTTAACTTAACGCCGTTTGTTTTTGGACATGGAAACGCGTTACGTGGAGCAGTTCCCAGTTTCACGCTCCGCTTCCCGTGCACGAGCTCTGTGCTGCAGGGCTGTATTGCTGACACGAGTTTAACAGTTAAAAAAGATTTTTGGTCAGCTGTTTTTTTTGAAAGCTCTCCCTCTTCCTCACTGTTTCGGGACCCAAGTATCATTAAGGAACTTCTTAAAGGACAGTGGGATATGCAGGGCTTTTTTCACTGCGGGAAATCATGCGAAAGAAGCAATTACCAAATATTATCGAATAAATGCAGCCAAGCACGGGTAGGAGTAAGGTACCATGGTAAGGGAGGGCCTGGGCGGTGCTCTTACGGCCGAAGCCGAGGCAGTCAGAGAGAGATCCAGCGTCCGACGTGCCTGATGTCTTCTTGCTTCCCACCCTTGCAGGATGCCCTGCTGGTCATTCTCAAGAGCCTGATGCCGGCGTGTCTCTTCAACGTCGTCGGGTTTGGATCGACCTTTAAGGCCCTGTTCCCTGCCAGTCGGACTTACTGCGAGGTAGGTGAGGAGGCAGCCGAGAGAGCTGGCGTTCGGAAGAGGATGCTGGAGCAGAGGCGGACGATCCTGCTGCTCCTTTTGCAGGAGAGCCTGGCCGTCGCCTGCGAGAGCATCAAGAGGATCCGGGCTGATATGGGCGGCACTGACATCTTATCACCCTTGAAGTGGATCATTCGGCAGCCGATCCACAGGGGCCCTCCCAGGCAAAAACCCGACGGGGCCGTCGGCAACACGGGCAAGGTCCTTGAGCTGCTGCGAAACCACTCGTGCTCCACCAGGTACAGAGAGCAGCAGGGCTCTTCCCTGCAGGGGCAAAAGCCTGGCGCGGTGGGGCACTCGCTTCTCCTTGAACGCAGCGTGGACCGCGGGCCTCCTTCAGAAACCGAAGCAGGAGGGACTGCCTGTGGTAGCTGTGGGAGAGCCTCCAAGGGCTTGGAACAGATCCCAGCTGTTCAGATGCTTTTTAAACAGGATAATTGGGCTGACAAACTTCACAGGGTCCCCTCGTCCGATGCTTCCTGCTAGGAGAGAGTGGCGCACGACCTGTTTTCCTAAAGCCCATCTGGGTTTGGTCCCAGCCGGTTCTGGGTTGGGGCTGCAGAGAACCCAATAGGCTGAAAAAAGAGCAATGTGAAAAGCAGCGGATTTGTACATCAAGCTCCTCGCCTGGTTCCCCAGGCTGGAGGGCCAGGCTGCTCTGGGTTCTCCTCCTACCTCTTTAAGGGCAGGCAACATAAGAAGACTCTAAGAAAACCTTGAACATAAGAAAAATGTAAGAAAACCTTGTTCCTTTTTAATCCCTCAGACTTCAGGGCCCATCGGGGAAGCTGGGCTGTCCCTTTTCTACTCTGTGGAGGTCTGGCTGCTTCTCGGCTGTATAGGGCAACCCAGCCCTGGGCCCTGCCTCTTAGGGAGGTCTGCTAGCGGGCTAAATGCAAAGGTAACGTGTGGTCTTGGCTGCCACTGGAAGGCATTGCACAGTGCATCTTTGAGTCGTGTGTCCTGTCCATGCCTCAAAGAAGATCAGAGCCTTATTTAAGAAGGTATGAGGCTAACCTAAGATTTGCAGCCATCTGGCGATTAAAAACCTCTATGAGAAAAGCTCCTCGTGGAGATGCAGTTTGCTGGTGAAAAGGGGTTTTCTGCCTGGTCTAACCACTGCCCTGACCATACGCCGTAAACTGCCCATCGCTAGCCCTGCTGGCATCCTACCCCATCCACCTGCGCCCTGGCTGCCAGCAGCTGCCTGCTCCTCCTGCCTTCCCTTCCCTGCTTTGAGGTTGGCTCTAACTTTGCAGCCTTCAGCCAAAAGCAAATCCTGAGTCATTGAGCAGGGACTTAGGGGAGCGATCCTGCCTGGCCGGTTCCTTGTTCCTTGAGAAAACGTTTATTTTAATTGTGAGCCGAGATAATTACTAGGTCTTTAATGCTATTGACCACAGACTCAGCAGGGAGAAGAGCTGAACTGGCAGTAAAGCAGCCTGTTGGTGGGGGTTGAAGGGCCTGCTAGGAAGCCCTCGAATGTTGCAGCTGCAGGCTGCTCTTTGGGGAAAGGATTTGAGGTCTTTTTGAGCAGAGGAGGCTGGCAATTTCTGGAGGAGCTGATATTTTTTTTCTCCAGACATGCTGGACAACTGCATAGCAGCCAAGGGGGAGAGCGGAGGGGGATGAGCAAAAAGGTGGCTTCTGCGGCTTGCAACGAGTCCGGGAGCGTGGGAACAGCCTGTGCCCAGGTTTTTCGCCCAGGATCGTGACGCTCTCTGTCCCTTTGCAGGTGCTACAGCTTCGGCATTGGGCAGAAGGCCTGCAGGAGGCTGGCGCTGCACGCGACGGGGAAGGCAGACCTGTGAGCCCCGCTCGGAGGCGAGGCTGTTGCAGGGCCAGCAGTGGAAAGCCCTGGGCTGGTGGTGCACTCTTGGGTTCGGGTTTGAGACAGCCCTGGGCACAGCTACTGGAGCCCATCTCCCTGGGGAAGTGCCGTCCGGCCTCGCTGGCCCCGGCAGACTGCGGAGTCCCTTCCTAGAGGCTCTAAGGGCGCTCTGGTTTCAGCGAGCGAGTCCGATTCCCGGCTCTGCTGCTGCCTTTGCAGCTCCCACACTGCAGCAGGCAGGTGAGCGGCGGGGGAGGAAAGAGCATCTTCAGCTGCAGCTGTCGGAGGGACGGGGAGAAGCGGTAGTCGCAATCCGGCAGCTTCCAAAAGGTAGCGGCTGCCTCAGACGCGGACGAGGGCACGAGAGCTGGCGTCAAAGCAGCCAATTAGTTTTGAAGTCAGACTCGGCCCCTGTGTTGCTCGGGCGAGAAGTACCCAGGGTTGGAAGGAGAGGAATAAGCTGCGGTAGCTTTGCTTATTAAGGCAACTTGAAAGCAAAGCGGGGGAGCCTCTTCCTTCCCACTCTCCCCCTGAAGAGTGAGTAAATGGACATGCCTCAAATATACCTAAGACTGCCCCTACTCTCTATCCCCTGGTAAAAGGACGCGAGTGGCCCATCATCTGCTGAAATGACTAAATCCAGCAAGAATTAGGTCTTTTGCTCCTAAATATCTTTAAAAAGCTGGCTCCTGTGTTCTTGATCTCCAAAGGGCTTCATCAGGTTGCCCCCCTCTCCTGCAACCCGTAGCACACAAAGACAGAAAAGCGCCAGCATTTCTCTTGTAAATGAAGAGCAAAGATGGGAGGGTTTGTGTTTTGTTTTTTTTTTTAAGAGAGCTATTAATAAAGAGCTTTGCGAGCTGCACAGCTCAGCGCCTTCAGTGGTTTGAGGCATCGATTCGTGGCCTCATGAAACAGCCTGGCGTGTCTTCCGCGCCCTGTGAAAAAGCGGTGAGCAACAGAGAACATTTAAGAGGTCCTGGTGTCTAAATCTGGTGTTAACTTCTCCTGTGGGCAGGGAAGCTCTGCTAGACGGCTCCCTAATAGGCTCGTCCGTGCGATATTCACGGATGTTGGTCTTGTCCGCCTGTGTAATTGGCAGGGCTTCGCTGATCTCCGGCAGTGCTTTGCACCAACAAGGACCTGCACCCCAAATAGCCGAGCTGTCAGTGTGTGGGTGTTGGGGCTTGGGGTTGAGGCTCAGCCCGGCGCAAGGGCGTCAGAGGCTCCTAATCAGCTGACAGATTTTTGTCGAGGGCCTTTTTTTCCTTTCCCCTGCAACGCACCGTGTGTGCACTGCAACGCGCTGGGTGCCTGCGCGCCCAGTAATTACTCCCCTGTGCTTCCTCCTTCAGATGATCAAGTCACTGAAGAAGGCGATGGCGCCAGTCCTAAGCGACGTGTCCGTGGAGTGGGTCTTTCCCGAAAGCACCGAGGTCTTGGTTTCCCCCGTCAGCGCCCGCTGCCTCTTCCCTGGTGACCGCCTGGTGGGCTATGGCATCGTCTGTGACACTTCCCTGTACATCTCCAACCCCAGATCTGTGAGTCCTGAACCTCTCCCAGCCGTACACGGGGAAGCTCGCCACTTCCACATGCCCATCGGCCCCGCGGAGCAGTGGGAGGATTCCTGTCCTCCGGTTCTTTTTTTTTTTCCCCTCCTCCCTCCTGGCGGTGGTGTGAGCCAGCAGGCTTGCAAACCTGATGAGAAGGGAAGCGGTGGGGGAGTCATCAGGGTGACGGGAGCAGAGAAAGGTCGCCGCTCAATGGCTAATCGATGGATAACGGAGAGAGGCTAAAAAGGCAGCGGCGTGCAAATGACAGCCGGCGAGAGCCGGCTGATGGATGCAGTGGTAGGTCCTATTCCTCCCTCTCCTTCCCCCCAGGACAAGAGGCGGCGTTACAGCATGATGCGTTCCCAGGAGTCGGGCAGCTCTGTTTTCTTTCACTCCCAGGAAGAGGGAGTGGGCACAGAGAGCTGGAACTACTCCAGGGACTCGGAGGGCTGCTGCCCCTCCGAGCGCACCGCTGATCACCTGCTGGTGGGCAGAGAGCCCAGCGGAGAGTCGGACACAGACACCGGTCAGATTTTCCTCTGTATAAGCGTGGGTGTGATGCTCCTGTCTTTCTAATCAGCTTTCGTCTCTGCTCTGGCAATTGGCTTGTCTGACAGATAAGTCCCTTCAGCTGTATCTCTGCAAAGTGTCAGAGGGTTTTGCAGGCGCGATGACAGATCTCCCGAGGCTTGAGCGAGTCTATTTGGTTTGGATGTTTTATGCTAACCTGTCAGGAAATCAAGGGAAGCCTTGGAGAACTGGCTTCCCCTGAGATTTCTAAAGCAACTCTAGTTTTGGTCACATAATTATTTACAAGCATCTCAAACTGCCCTCCAGCGTGCAGTGGAGGAGAAGAGGGAGTAAATAAGCAGTCCGGCTAGACAGTCGCTGCATCTATCTACAAAGCAGTCGCTTCTCCCAGCAGCCCTGGAGTGGCAGTTAGAGGCTGGGAGAGAGGTGTCTGGGGTGTGGGAATGGATCCAGAGTCCTGGCCTCGGGATGTCCCCCCTCACCATCAACTGTGATGCTTGTGTCAACAGCATGCAGCATAAAGCAGCCGGTTCAACCCCAAAACTGGTTACATTTCCATGGCAGGAGGGAAATCTCTTGCTGCTCTTTGCTTATATTCAGAGAGCAACTATCTTTGTCGTAAACTCTTGTAAAAGAAAAGAATCCCAGGGCCAAACGGGACCCGGGGGGGATTTGTCCAAGCCCTTTCCTCCCTGAGCATAAGTTTAACTACTCTTGTGTGGCACATCCTCCCAAGCTTGTCAAAAAACAATGAGAAATCAGGCACTTCCGCATGAATTTTTACTCTTGCTCTGACAGAGAAGTGTCTACGCTAATGAAATTTCATTAGCAAACCGTTTGTTTGTCTTCTCCAGGGAGATTTGAGTAAGTGCAGTTGGGTTTTTATGTTTTGCTGGCTGAAAAACGCTCAGACAAAACCTCTCCTACCTGCTCTCCTGACGTCCCCAGGGGTTTCATTGCCTCACTTAAAACCAGACAGGGCTGAGCGCAGCCCCCTCAGCCCTGGGCAGGACCAGGGCGACGGGCTCCCTGCTGCCCGCTGGTAGCCAAGGTTGGGTAGCGCTGGCCGGTACTGTTTGGGATCAGAGCTGATCCTCTTTCCCTTGGTGCAGGACCGGATGTGAAGACCTCCACCCGGAGACGGGCGTATAGCACCAACCAAATCGCCGACCACGAGCCTTTCAAAAAGGTGCCCACGGCCAGCGATCCGGGCAGCAACACCCTAGTGAAGAACCCCCTTCGGAAAACCCACCTGCAGGATCTGTACCAGGTCAGTCCGGAGCCACGGCAGGCAGACTTCCAGGCATGTGCCACAGCCCTTGTGCTTTGCATGCAGGGGGAGGCCAGCGTAGAGCAGCAGGAAGAGCTCAGATGTTTAAGGGCACAAGTGCTAGTCCTACGTGTCCCAATATATGTGCTTGTGCTGCAGCATGTCACAAATGTGGAGGAAACAAGCCAAGTGGGGAGCAAGATCCCGTCCTTGTGCCATGGAGCAATGCATCCCCATAGGAGCCCTGCTTTTCTTTTCTAAATGTCTTTTTGCACCTCTCCTCTCCTTTTCCCCTGCTGAGGTTGCCTGTGCTTCACTGTTCATCTGAGCCACAGGCTTCCTTCTTCTCAGCTGAATATTGCCGTAGAGTTTGGCCGTGCAGCAGAATGAAAAGTCAGTCTCAAAGCAGATTCCCCCATTGTATCTGGAACCCACAGGCCACGGGCAGCTTTGGGCTGAGATGTGGACGCGAGGGGTAACGCGCCTGCTGAGCCACGGGCAGCTTTGGGCTGAGATGTGGACGCGAGGGGTAACGCGCCTGCTGAGCCGAGGCCGCTAACAGTGTTAGGTACCCTAACGCTGCCCCCGGCAGCAAGTACAAGGTGAAATGCAGCAGCTTGAACCCAAGTGGAGGAGCCTCAGCCCAAGGACTGTGCGCCCCGACTTTCTGGGAGGGCATGTAGGCTGCTCCAGCTTGGCTGCTGTGTACTAACTCTGAGCTGCCCCTCTGACAGGTCTTGAGTGCTAATTTGTCCAGCCCACTGCCCAGAGTGATGTGGAAGTTGCTTTAATCGTGCTGGCCAGAGCAGACCTATAGAAATCTTGTCCAGCGCTGTTGCTGGTCCCTGGGTGAGCTAGGGACTGTTGCTTTTTAAAGGAGGAGGCCTAGGAAACGCCCTGCAAGAGCGAGTGAGAAGCGCTCAGTGTTCGCTGATCTCCCCCTCTTGAAACTGCAACCCAGAGGTGGTTTCCAAGGCCCACAATGCAGGGGACGCATTACAAATTCCAGATTTTTAGGCCGATCTGGGGAAGGCTTGGAACGGCTTTCTCCCATCCTCAGCATCGCTGCAGTGCCTCGCTTTGCGAGCAGCACCTGCAAGGCTGGGAGGATCAGCAGCAGCAGCAGCAGCAGCAGCTGCCGCTGCACTTCTGTTCCTATGGAAACTTGCAGCAAGATCTCTGGGGCTTTGATTTCTCATCTGCCTTGTGTTAGAGATTGGCCGGGCGAAGTGGGGCTGAAGGTGAGATGGGAGGGTGGAGGGGAAGAGAGGGCCAACGCTCAGCAGAGAGCAACGGGGCCTCTGTCCTCTAGCTGTGGCAGAGAGGGTAGTGAACTGGCTCCCTTGACAAAGGGCACTTCATCGCGGACGGGGTAGGTTTTCGGGGTGCCCGTGGCCTTACCTGCGTTGCCGAGGTCCACAGAGCATCACGCCTGTGCACAGGACACTTGGCGTGAAGGCAGAGAGGGAAGTGACTTCCCTCTGGAGGGTAACGAACCGTTGACAGCGTGCGTCCCGCTTGTAATTAATTGCAGCCTGGTTTTCCCATCCCTCGTGCTGCGAGGGCTCCCGGTGGCTCTCCCAGCTCCGACTCCAGCTGCCAGGGCTTGACATTTTCGGAGCTGTGAACGTGAGCCTTCAGCTCACCTCCACACACGCTGTTCTGGGAAGGAAAGGTCAGCGCTTGCGATGGGCAGCTTTAACCCCCCAGCTCTGTTCCCGGCCTGCTTCGCCTGGCTCGGGAGAGAGCTCAGGAAGGGGAAGGGGCAGGTTTTGAATGGAAAGGGTCCGTCAGGGACCAGCTTGCCATGAAAAAGGCTCAGTTCAAGCTTGGTGAGTGGTCCCTCCTTCAGTTTAGTCACACAGATGGGCCTGCCTCCCATTTTTGCTGGTGGTTTAACACAGCATCGAAAACTTGGTGGTGAAGGAGGCTGAGCTCCTACCTGCCACCTGGAGGAGGTCTCTTTCAGTATGGCACTGAGATCCGTGGCCTTTTCCCACCATCGTCCCTTGCTGCTGTTGTGCCGTGGAGATACGGGGTCCGTCAGTCTTTGGGGGACCCTCCCGCAGCCCCAGGGATGGAGGTAGAAACAGCCAGAGCTCTGCGTCTCTGCTAGCCGCCGAGGGAGATGTCCCTGCGGGACGTGGCGCTGGAGAGGCTGGGGAGGGGTTTCACGTCTGCTGAAAGCAGCGGCAGCAGTCTCTTGTGAGCCGGGATCCCTTTCTTCCCAAACCCTTGTGCCTCTCTCCGCTGGTTACTAAGCAACTGGTCCTGGATCTCTCATCTCTTTTCTTTCCTTTGGTTCCCAAGTGAGGTCACTAAAACGTCTGGAGGGATGAAACTCATATTTCACCTTCTGTATGTCTGGGGAAAGAGCCCTGGGGGCTTGGGTCCCTCCGGGACGCGCCACAGATCTGGCAGACGGCCACGGCGCCCTGTCTGGGCTTCGAGGTGGGTGCGGAGGGCGGTGTGCTTGCGCGCGTGCCGGGAAAAGCCCGTTTCGCTGCCGCGCACCACGATAAGGCAGGGAACGAATGGGATCAGCAGGGACAGAGCAGCACTCGCAGGCAGGTTGGCGCGATTGCAGGTGCGGGGGCCCAGCCGGCGAGACCGCCGGGCCCCCAACGCTGCGCATCCTTTTGCCACGATGCCGACCCCCCGCCGGTGCAGGACGGGCTGCAGCAGACGGCTCCGGGAAGGGGCCTGGGGCCGCTCGACACCAGCAATTACCTGCGATCTTCGTCGGACAGCCGAAGCCCTGGGGATCTGGGTAACTGGGGCCAAGGGGGAGGCAAGGCCAACCTCATCGGTCCGTGCTGGGGTTTCAGTGGCGTTATTCTGTGCCACCATATCAAAATTAGGAATTATTAGTTAAGGCTTCTCAGTGACAGCTGGGAATTCGGTTCACACAGATATGATTAATTATATATGTTTCACCTCTCTGCAGAATCTGCCCATCCTTCCTTCACGTTTGAAACGGAGACCTCCTCCGACTGGGAGCTGCAGGACTTTGATCTCAGCTCTGCCCGGGGCTCCCTGCACTGCCCCAGGGCCTTCTGCAAGGCAGTGGTGAAGGGGCTAAGGAGCAACGAGCCCGTCCAGTGGGAAATCGCCTTCGATATCCGCCCTCTTTTCCGAGAGCGAAAGAGCCAGGAGGATGGTGACACGGACCTGTGGAGTGAGACCTTCCACCACCTGGCAGCCAAGTCCATCATCCGGGACTTTGAACAGCTTGCGGAGAAGGAGTGTGAAATCGAGCACGGTAATACCCACCTCCTGAGCAGCCTGCGAGCTGGCTGGGGGCAGGACAGACCCTGGCTTGGCTCGGGGGTGGCTTTCCAGCAGCTTCAGCAGTCTCTTGAGTCTCTCTTGAGTTAGTGCAAGGGCAGGCAGTGGTGATGCATCCGGGAACATCATGTGCAGGTACCTAACAACAGTCTGTCTCATGGCTTATCGAACATTTCTCCTGCTCCATGAAACGCAGCTGTAATGGGCAAAAAAAAGACTAGATACATAAAACACAACAGCAGAGGAAGCGCTGGGCAGACTCTAGAGGGACGCAGGCTCTACTGGGAGGGCCTGTGAGAAGGCCCAGGCATGCAGATAGGTCTGGGACCTGGGTGTGAGAGGTGGACAGAGCCCACAGAGCACTGTAACCCTGGTGTCTCTCATGTGGCAGGGTCTGGGCGGCGGTACCAGGTCAACGCCGTCCACACCAGCAAGGCCTGCAACGTCATCAGCAAGTACACGGCGTTCATGCCGGTGGACCTGAGCGCCAACACCTACCTGCCGACCATCGTTGAGTACACCAACACGGGTAACGTGGCGCTCTGGCGTGTGGCCGTGCGAGGCCAGTCGGTGGGGATGGCTTGTACGCTGGCAGGGGGGTGAAACATTCTTCTCAGGGAGAGGGTTTTGCCCGAGAGACCTAGTTCAGAGAGCAGCCTACGAAGCCAAGGTTCAAATCAACACCAGACCTGTATATCCAAGGCCACTGCCAGGGCCTAAAGGCATGCCTGCTGCTCTTGAGGCAAGAACCTATTCCACTGCAGTCAAGCAAAGCATCTAATCCTAGGACGGTGCCCCTGCTGGGTCTGGATGCCTGGAAACACCCAGACTCATCAAGCTGTGGGATTTGCTGACGTTGTGTGTGCCGGACCCTCTCTAATGCTTGCGATTCCCTTCACTTGTGCAAAGGGGCAGCATCCAAGCAAGGCAGCCAGAGGAGTCGGAGCTCCGAAAGCAGAAGGCATCGTGGCTTTTCTGTTGGACGTCCCCAGTCAGCCTGTGGCCAGAACGGAGATGAGGGATCTTATGGCATGAGTAAGACTCCTTGATTTCTTTGGTCTCTGCACTCTTACAGACCTCAGTAGTTTAGTCCATGAAAGTGTGATTTTTTTTTTTTTTTAGGGACGCACCTGGTCTTTTTTCTTCTACCTTCATCTTTTAGTAGGATGCTCCATTTTAGAAGGGCGGTATGAATGTGGTGAGATGCGTGGCAGGAGTGTCGTCACTCTAGTGAGGACAGTGGCATAATGTCTGCATAAAACGGGCATGTCTGAACCTACTGTTTGAGTGGTAACTAGAGGAACTTGAAGCCTGCCACATTTCAAAGGTGGCCAGGAAAATGATAAGTAGAAAAGGCTGGGGACAGAAGGGAAACTACACAGGCATTTATCCATCTCGGAAGAGTCTGTGAGTTTCCAGTGAAGGTTTGAGTGTTGCTGTGTTTGGAGGTGGTTGGTCTGCTGATACCGCATCTGATGTCTGGCCGCTTGTTGCACCCTGCCTGGAAAATTGGAGGTAGTCCCGCACCAGCTCCTGGCAGGCAGTGGGAAACATCCAACCATGTAAGGAAGTACAGAGCCAGGAAACAGGTTCCTCCAACCGTGGAGGAGATGCTGCCTCCCATGGCTGCCCAAAGCAGGCTTGCTGTGGGCCAGACATGAAATCCTGGTCTCAGTGAAGCCACTGAGGTTCGTTTGGGGGGAAGTTTCACCTCAGCTATGACAGTTCAAGCCAGTAGCACAAATCTGAGTTGTGCTGGACTCTCAGACGATCGGAGGGGCCCACCTAGGCCAGTGGTGGGCCTCCTCCAAGCCTTGGAGACAGGATTTCCATCACTGCTGCTGTCATATGCAGGACCTGAAGAAGGACCTGGCCTGTGGTCTGAACAATTAACCATGTATCTGACTGGAATCAGTCTCCTGAAATGGGGAACAAACTCCAGTTTACCCTGAAACTCCCAAATCACAGGCAGTGATGGCTGCTGCTGATGCTTGGAAGTTAATTGGCAACCGTAACACAGGCAACATGAGGGACTAAACAGGGTGTAAGTAGAGGCAAGGGGGTGAGAGACACTTGCCTGTCACCAAATCCTCTGCTAATGAGGATACGTTGGACTGGACCTTGTCTCGCGTTGTCAGGTCTGCTGTTGAATTGAAACTACTTCTGTGTTCGGGAACAGAGACCGGGAATTGGAGATGTGTGTAACTGAGGCCACTTAAACCAAACAGGAGGTCATGGGCAGGGTGAAAGCCATGTGGGTAGCTGCCAGGCAGCAGGTGAAAGCCAGCAATTAGGAGGTGGGCAGAGACTGCTCAGGCTGTTTGCGCTATCCAAAGGGCAGAGCTGGCTCATTAATCTGATAACACGGTGGAGAGGGAGAGCAGCTGTGTCGCCAGTCGGCGTGGCCGTGCGCCACTCGCACATGGTGATTTCAGGTTGGTGGTGTTGCCAACGTGGTTCCCTTCGTTGCAGGTGTGGACGAGAGCAGCCTGTCACCCTGCAGCACCCCTTCCTCCTCTAGCCGGGAGCGCTGCAGTTTCCCAGAAGGTAGGGGAAGACACTCGTGTGATTTCCTGGGGTGCAGACACACCGTTGTGCCCAAATGTTGGTTCAGCCTGCATTCACAAGCTGTGATTGTCACCTGCTGGGCCCTGCGTTTCAGACCTCTGCTCCTCCCACTGCACGTGGTCTCCACCTGGCTGCATTCCTGGTGGGAACGCCAGGCTCTGGAGTTAGGCCTGGGCAAGGGAGCTTGGGAGAAAATGACTTGGAACTGTTGCGTGTTTGCACATAATAGCTGGGAAATCCAGTTGGTGATTTGGGATCTTTACCAAATATTTCCACTGAGTGCTTTTTTTTTTAACTTGTTACCTGAAATTAGGCCTGTGAGAACAAGATCTGACTCTTTCCAGAGGTAGAAAGGAGAGACCCCCCTATGGGGCCTTGAGTATAAACCTCCCCAGGCTCATTTTTGAGGTATGCAGGAACATCATTATGCAATTCCTCATGGAAGGAAAATGAGGCAAAGGGAGAAGAAGGATTTGGTCAAAGGCTTGGTGTATTTTAGCAGCAAAACAAGGCACCCCACATCCCAGTGCATAAGCTTTGTTCCCTGAACTCTGATATTCGCTCTCCTGTTACACTGGAGGTTTCGTTCATTTTTTTCCCTTGCGTTTGTGTTTCTTCCAGTGCCGTTACAGAGCCTGTCTGCTTCGCCTGCTCATTCCCAGAAATCCCTCGAGAGCCTCTTCACTGCAAGGTATGGACCAGCTTGACCTTCTCTGATGTTAGCAGCCCTGCGGGTCCTGAGGCAGCAGCCCAGTCTTGCACCTCAGTAGGTGTGACACAAACACAAGCGAGAGGGAGAGGAGGGACAGCCCCGGGTGCAGGGTAGCAGCCCAGCCGGGCTCTGAGAGCTGTGTCGCTCCCAGGCCGAGTGTGATGCCAGTTGCTGAGGACCTGGGACAGTTCCTCAGAGGAGAGGACAGGCATCAGGAGGGGCACGTAGGCAACAACCGCCTTTTCATCCTCCTGCAGGCTGACGCTCAACAGAACCAGACTGCTGACCCGAGCTGCCAAAGGTTTCATGAGTAAATCTCCAAACAGAGTGAATGAACCCAACTCTGAGACTGACAACGAGAACATAGACTACCTTCCCCTGGTAAGCAACTGGTCAAGGCCCCTGAGTCTTGCCGGAGCTGTATGGTCACTGCAGGAGAGCAGAGACCTGAAGGATCATCCTGGATTGTCCAGGGCTGCCTCTTACTTTCTTCTGGCAGCCATGTGTCTGACATGGCCTGACAAGCCTGCTCAGAGATGGAGAAGGGCTCCAGCCATCCCTGAGAGCAAAGGCAATGAGCGGGCAAGGAGGTCTTCCTAGTGCTGGTGTTTGTGCTATATGCTGAAGCACCAAGGTTTCCTGTTACCTGGCAGTGCCACCTGATAAGTCCCGGCCAGGTCCTAAGGAGAGACGCATCCCCTTTTCCTGAATTTCCCAGAAGAGGTTGGCATCTCAGAGCTTCTCTGTGCCTGTCGCTCCATACAGGTGTCTCTGCAGCTGGCCTGCGGTGCCTTCCTCATGAACTCGGCCTTCTGCGAAGCAGTCAACATCCCCATGGAGAAGCTGAAGTGGACATCTCCTTTTGCTTGCCACCGCCTGGCGCTCAGCCCCTCGAGCTCCTGCAGCGCCAAGAAGACCAGCCCCTCCGGGGAGCACAAGAGCCTTACGTACGGCCAGCAGCTCCTGGTTCCCGACGGCACGCTTGGGCAGAGTCCCTCTGACAGAGATCCTGCTCCGGGCTCGGTGCCCGACGGACCTGGCAGCCGCACAGAAGATGCAGGTCGCCTTCGCCACTTCTCAGGTAGCGCTGTGGAAAGCATCTCCAAAGCCCTCAAAGCCGAGAACGAACTCTCCCCGCCGGCTATCACCATCCGCCGCTTCTCCTCCCCGGAGAGCGTGCCCGCAGCCGCCAAGGCGCAGGCTGACAGCGACTCTGAGGTGGACGGCTCTGCGATCCAGGCACTGCTCTTCGACATCGAGCTGCAGCAGCAGACGGAGCCGGAGGGGATGCTGTGGGCCACGGCTGTAGCCCTGGCCTGGCTGGAGAACAGCTCCGCTTCCTACTTCATCGAGTGGGAGCTGGTGGCCGCCAAGGCCAGCCTGTGGCTGAGCGAGCAGGACTTCCCGGAGGGATACAGCCTGGCTACGGTGAAGGCTGCAGCCCAGCAGCTGTTTGTCTTGCTCAGGCACTGGGACGAAAACCTGGAGTTCAACCTGCTGTGCTACAACCCAAACAGCATGTAAAGAGAGGAGAGAGTGGATGAGGAAAGAGGCTTGGACGGCTCTCTGAGGGCGCAGGAACAGGGACCCATCCTTAAGGAAACATGTTCAAGGAGCTCATTTCCTCTGCTGCAGGGACAGTGCGTTTATTGGAATAAGCCCTTGAGCTGATTGGCAAACGGAAGCAGCCCAGGCAAAATCCTGCGCTTAACGATTGGTATTTTGCCCCAGGAGGGAGTCTACCTGCCAGTACTTGCCACAGTAGGATGCTCTTTATTTTTTAATCGGAGCAGCACCTCCAGGTACAGCAGCTCCCTTTGATCCTGGTTTCTTCTGGTTACCAGCCCTGTTCCCAGACCAGATCTCCACAGTGACTGCTCAGCTTGCCCCATCCTTGCTTGGCTGCCCGTCCCCAGCCCTGAATCACCGTCAAGCCTCCACCACGGTCCCCCCTGCCGGCTATTTCCAGCCATGAGTCACTACTCTCCCAAAGCTCCTGCCTGGCTCCTGCTGTCCATCTCTGATGTTCTTTGCAAAGGTGAACCCGCATTGCTTGTTGCACAACTTGCTTGTCTTGTGGGTCAAAGGAAATCCAGGCTGGGAGTGACCGTCTAAAGAGCAACCCTCTTGTCCTGGCTGGGAGGGAGGGACATGCCGCCTTCTCTCGAGCCCAGCGAAGCACCAGACAGCCAGAAGCTGCGACCAAACCCCCGTTGCAATTCCAGGTGGTGCTGAGCTGCCTCAGCCCCTCTGACATCCCCAGCTCGGGTTTCCAGGAGCCCTCGCAGACCCTTTGCAGCGGACAGTGTGCCTTAGGAGCTTTGCCGGCTGAGCAGGGACAGGCGAAGGGAACCAGCCCCCCCTTGCACTCGAAGCCTAACGGAGCAGAGATGCCCTACGGTAGAGAAACGGGGGATTTTTATCTCCTGCCAAAATGCTGCATCCTTCCTTCTACACACGGGAGTCTCCCCTGTGCTGACCTGTTGGATCTGAACCGCAGGGACCCGCCTTTGAATCCAACAGCTCGGACACTTGTTCTTTTTAGGTTTTCTGACTGTTTTCTCCCCCTAGGGGCCTGACTCTCTAAAGCTGGCTCTTGGCTGGCGGGCTGGCTGCCTTCCCCCTCTTTACCACGCAGCCAGGGCGCCCGCTGCGAGCCGAGGACGGGCCTGTCCCTGCCGCAGCCCTCTTGAACGGAAGAGACGGGGAGAGCTCGGCTCCTTCATCCGGAGCCGTGCATCTCGAGAGCGTCCCAGAGCCCTTCTCGCACCGCTGCTGCTCTCGTCCTCCTCTCGACGCTGCCGTGAGGCTCG